TGCTACCTCCTCTTATCAGGTCCTCATCTCCAAACGGCTTTAAAGATATATTCATCATTTTCGTTCGAAATATGTGAGTGTTATTCACAACGCAGCAGCTGGAAGCCCTGCAAAATCATCCATCGGAAGCTGTTTGCAATCCGAAATCAGGTATCTAAATTCGGCAAAATTGAACCGCTACCGAGGTAATGGCACGAGAGCATCAACTGTCACTGACCCTAGAAAGGACCTTGGACGGTTTACCGTTCTTCATGCGGCCGGAAACATTTTGGTGCAGAAACTTAGTCCATCCCAAATCCTGTTGTATTCTGATTTCATTGAGGTTTCAGTGGATGCTGTCAATTAGCAGCTGACCACTAGCAGCATGACAAGATGGCATGAACGATTGCAAATACAAACTCAAATAAATTGTGGAAACGCTGAGGCAAATTCAGCCTGTGGTAGGTGTAGTGACCGCTCACAAGTGAACTGGAAGTTGGTAATCCCTCTCGCTCTCTTCACAGTAGCGTGGTTATTGTTCTCACCGACTCCTTTTGACGGGACACCTTGTGGATTATTCGTCAAACACTAGTGCGTACACGTTGAGTTTGTTAAGTTTCCTCCTGCTCGACCTACTGATGGTGTCCTTTTTGATTTAGCTAGTGTGAGGGGTAATTGAAGACTTTACAGGAGATTCTTTTATGTAAGTAAAGTCGATTTATGCTGAAATGCCTACTCTGTCACGGCCCCACTGAAAACCATCTAAAGTGCGCAACTCACAAAACTCCAGTGAGTCTGGAAACCGAGAGTGCGGAAACCCGGTAGTCCGGAATTCTTCGAGTTTCACGGGATGCGCACTTCTGGTAATTTCCAAAAAAGATTAAAGATTTGCACCTCAGTTCTTGACTTTCCAGCGAAGATTGGCTTTACTTGCTCCACAAAATCTCCCTTAAATTTTGCCTCCTGTTCACCCTGCTTGGCGTTTGTGCCACTTTACATTCCCATGCGTGCGTTCGCATTCATACCCATATGAACCAACGCACCCGGTGTTGTACTTCGCTCCATTTAAATCACCCACCCTTGAACTAGGTTATTGATCTATCATACTCAACACGTGAACCGTTGCCGGTTCCTGATGCAAATGAACTTGATCCTGTTGTGACAACTTGGTAAGTTGAAAAGCCGAACCGTGGAAGTTAACTTGTGGGAACCAGGTGTACGAACGCACGGAATTGTGATACGATGTGGACATGGACCCCGAATGCTTACTACCAAAATGTGTAATTTATTAGCTTGAATATGTTAGTCAACTTGGGACATGGAACTGTTACCTTGATCTTCGGTCCTCCAGGTGTCTACTCATCACGTGAACCAGTTTCACATTGCTTGTCTTTGACTTAGAGTTTGAGCTTCAGGCTACTGACATTGACTTGTACGTTTATTTGTTCGCTACCCACGAGACACGGACCGTAGTTGAGAGAAATATTGTAAATGGTACACTGTACTTTCTTTTACCATCTTTCATGATAGCTAATTATCAACTAGTTTGGTGATAATCCACGCAATTGTTATTTAATCAGTGCGGGAGATCTGTGGCTTTTGAAGTTAATGAGATGCTGTCAAGCGCGACTGAAATACCGCTTTTCGGCAGGCTGAGGTGTAAAAAGAGAGGTAAAATGCAAACACCAGAACGTCGAACTGGTTAAAACGAAGCGTGAAGCGGAAAATATAGACTGTCAAAACAAGATCATTTACTTATTGTCCCTCGTCTTCATTCTAAGCATTCGTGTTTTATACTCCTTTTTCCAGCTAACTTATAGCAAGTATGGTGACGTTTCGGAACAGGTTTTACGCTTTGTTCTGAGGTTGGCAACCCATTACGTGCAGCAATTTGAATAGGATTCACATCCGGGCCTGGTACGCATAAGGCAGAGAAAACACCTTCAATTAAGATGAGAGTGTCTTGTATTTTTGAAAAATGGCTGTCTCGTAAACCGACTTTCAGCAGTCACTAAAACTAGGACACCGGTTTGCCATTTTTGAACTACAAATACGAAGCTCAGATCAGTTATTCTGCCGTCATAGCAGACGCCGTAAAACAGGAGGCGGATATAAAACTGCATGCAAGGACTAGTAGACGGGAAAATCTCAAGATTAGCAACTGTAGGATAGATGAATCTTCAGGAAAGTGGAAAACGGAGGGCCAGTTTTAGGGAAACCAAACGGCACATCGGTGAAAAGCATAGTTACCGCCACAGAGAAGTCGGTAAAACGGAAGCTGTTGATCCCAGGGATGTACCAACGTTCATGATAGTTGTGAATTTTTCCTTTCCAGGGGGCGAAAACCGTGCAGCAAGCAGCAAGCAAAAAAGATACGAGCATATTTTGGCCTCCACCCACCACAGAAGACCATGTCTCCTTATGCAGTGACGAGCGGGATGCTCCAAATCTCCAACAAGAGCCATACCGGACAGGAGGCACCTCTGAATAAATTAGGAGGCTCTTTTGTTTTCACCGTTCTTTCGAGGGGTCTCAATGCTGCGGGACATAAGTAGTACAGAGGCGACTTACCGGGAACACATAGTCAGAAACAAACATATGACCTGGTATTTGAAGCGTCCGAGGAGCTCGTCGGTGCCTGGTTGATTTTGTGGCTTATGATCATTTGTGTGCTCACTGGTTTGACATCACCTAATTTATGTTCCTGACGCGCAAGAATACTAGACTACCAAAACCGGAAACCTGGCGGCGGGGAAAGTCCTCGGGAATGCACTGTGGTGGATTAAAATAGACTCCGGTTTCGTATCCTAATCTAGAGAGCAACGCACCCTGGACAAGGTGGAAGGGCAACGGATTCAGACACGCTTGGCTTACGAGAACGTGCGTAGCCTCGGGAACGAGTTAGACGGACAAGATTGTGAAAGGGAAGAAACGCAGTTAGTCTCATAAATCTACCCCTGACTAATCACTGAAGAGTTGAGAGCAAGCTGTTAATAGGCTGGCCCTGAGTGTCAAGTCTCTGATGTGCAAGTCGAAAAATTAGGATCGAAATGCCTGTAGCCGTCAACAAGCACCAAGAATGGCGATACCGTCACCTCTTTGAATAAACTGCAGGAAGAACCATCAGGTGATGTAACATGGTACGCCCGGCAGCCATACCCTTGAATGTGGCTGTACGCCTATTGAGGGTCTCAATAAATTTGGTCTAAACCCTCTGCTTGCCCTTCGGAAATGCTGTAAGGAAGAATCCGCTGTCCTTACGTTTTTCAATAGTACTCTTGATATGCAAGTGTGCCCGACACGCACAGAAAACAGGCTTTCAATAGTACTCTTGATATGCAAGTGTGCCCGACACGCACAGAAGAACAGGCTGTCAGAACAGCACTAAACCATGTAAAACCTCATGGACTGATAACTGAGGTCATATCCAAACAATCACTGCTAATCCATTTGGTTAAACAAAATAATGGAACCAAGACAAATCGAGACCCTAGCATTTAGCTTCTCCCCAGGCCAAAACCTACATGTTTTCTCAGACTGAGCTGTTCAGTGTCCCACTGAAGAGCTTTTTCACGTTTGAAGTCTTACTTGGCCTCTGTAAGACATTGACCAGTTGCCCTCAGACATCCTTGGCGTGGAAGACCACGACAAAACATAGGGATCAGCACGCATCTACCAGCGGATCTGGACCCATACGCCGCTAGCTGTGATCTCAAACACGAGCCCATCAACTCGTCCCTTGGTACCAGAAGAAACCCAACTATCTCGTCAAAGGACGCACTATCAAGGACCCTAAAGGAGCTTGCATGTTTCCGCCCAGGGAAGCATTTCGCTCTCAATCATCGCTTTCGTAGAAACTGTTATCATTTGTGGCAACATGACAGCACTCTAAACTGCCGAATTTTGCATCTCGCTCACTCTCCAACTGAGTGATTCGCCTTTTACTTTTTACATCATGACTCTGTTCACTGCGTTCTGTTCGCGTGGTAGTTGATTACGGATTTCGGCTTGACGGTCTGACACGTTTAGAGGCGCCGTAGACTCCGTACGTATAAGGCTTGTACGTTCAATGATTCGTTGTTGTGCCCGAAGTAGTGCATTCAGTATGAAACCTACCTTTTCGAACGAACACTTTCCCTGAGTTTTTGTACGTCGCTCAAGCGAAAACCCTCGGGTGCTGACCTCGTTTGGCAACCACTTTTGGCTCCTAGTTCTAAAGCTAGCTAAGTTACCCAGAACACTGGCTGCAGCGATATTGTGATGGGCCTACTAATTTGCTGTCAACGGGATTTTTATCCGCATAAGCTCATAACCCTACCGTAAGGCCACAAAACTCGAACATTCGCTGACACTTTCCAGCCCAAAATTCATGAAGGAAAAGGTACAAGACGGTTTAAGTCACCGAACCAGGCTAAATGGAGGGTTATTATGGAACCACATCTTCTGTTCACATATGCAATATGCTCTTCACAAATCAGAATGAGTGAGTCTTACATTGATTCTCCTAATGAGTTTTGTTGGGTACCTTATTTTCAACCCCCAAATACACCCTTCTTCCTGGTGGAAGAAGGGGTAATACGTCCAGAATTGGTCATTAGGGGTTCAACCCGCTTCACATTCTACCTCGTCTAGGTGCGGCGAGAAGAATTACGTGACAAGAAGCTGTCACTGAGAGCTTTCAATCAAAGGCTTGCGATGAACCTTCTCCATCAGTTAGTAGAAAACCGTGAAAATCTATCTTTGAGTACAGTCTTGACGAACAGGACATTCGAAGCAGGACATCGCGGCACTTCCATAACGATCTCAAGGAATTCATTGGGCGCATCAACATACTCCTGTAGAGGCAACAAATACCCGGAGTTCTTTATGAATAAATTCAAAATAAAGACCCGCAACAATCACTCAGTTTACTTACCCTCACCACTCTAGTTTCCGGCAGCCCACCCCAAAAGCCTGTTCTGTTAGGTCCTAATCGCCAGTCCTGGTGGTGCTCATTAGCCACACAATGCTCTCAGCTGAAAAATATTTGCAAGTGGAACAAAACTTTCTACTCAAAATATTGCATTTTGTTGCGTATGTGCTCAAGCCAGAATCCATCCTGATCTACGTTTATCTTCTTCCAGATCACCAAATTTCATTGTCCACTGAGGCAATCATACCTCTAGTGAAAAACGTATGTGGAATACTTTCCTAGCATCGCTGATACCTCAAGGCGCCTAAATAGGGCTCAAAATATTAGACTCGTACTTTGAACTCATTTGTCTGTCTTTTTTAGTCCAGTGGTGCACGTCGTAGCCTTCGAGAATTTAATTTCATTGTGCGAATACTGAGCTCCAATCTTAATGGTTTATTTGAACCAGACCTCTCAAGTGATAGTCAAAAATAGACTAATCGTTTTAAAAGCAGTCAGCAAAATTCAACTGAATACGCTGGGGGTAACCAGCGTCTTAGCCATGCTACCATCGTCAATATTCTAGATCAGCTGCAAACTAGGCTGCCTTTCCAACCACCGGGAGCGCTGTTACCTTATGCATCCGTCATTAGGCAAAATCAGCAGTCTTACAAAAAATCAGGCCAGTTGTGATGCTCCTTGGCTCTCCGGGTGTCATGAAGCTTATCCTCTTTGACTCCTCCGATAAGCCGTTGATAATTTCCGTTGATCATATTTGATAACTACCACTGGCCTACAGAAACAACCTTACCCTGTTGAAGTTGGCCTGATTCTGGTAGCGACCTAAATGTCTCAAATTCCAGCCATCCCCGGTGACAGGGATCACCGCCTCATGGGGTTTTTCTTCCACATAATCAATCTATCATGCGCAGTAGTTGCTCAAACTGTATCGAGAGTTCAGCGACGCATGCCCAGACCTTTCGAGGGGCTCAAATAGCACTTACAGAAAACCTTTTTTCTAGGCAACATCCCTAGGGGCCTAATCCACGTAAGGAAATGATCTTTTTTGGTAAAGTTTCATGCGGTTTGTTCTTTCTGGTGTGCTCAGTATGATGCCTGAGGCATTAGTATCTAGTTTGAACAGTTCATTGTTTACGCCGAACTCCTGATTGAATTAGTTTGTTCCCATCTATTAGAGTGCGTGCACAATGTGGATATATGGAAACCAATCCAACAATCTGATGAACTGTTGATCACACAAAGGGCTATCGTCCCCTTCGGCGATCGGAGCTTGTCAAAACGGCCCTTCTTCAAAGTGCAAAGTGCAATTTTCTTTTTACCGAGCCATTGGCTCACAGCCTGCTACGCAGTAGTTGAGAAATCGTCGCATTCAATAAATAGAAATTCCGGAGAGTCAATCGCTAAAAGTGAATCGAAATCGGCCTTACCTAAGCGATGGTGTTTTTAAAAGCAACTTTGTATAGCCCGACTACACGTTTCAGTAATATGTTGCTCATACATGTTTCGTTGAATGGGCAAACCATCAGGTTCACCAAATACGCCATTTCTGATGTTATCACCGGTCTACCACAGTCAGAAATAAATTTTACACAGTTTCTAATACAAATTTAAGATAGATTGATACATAAATGACCTTTTTGTACCTCTTACTCGTCCAGTGTAATAAATTAGCTAGTGGTCCATGAGATCTCGGCACAACAGCGCTGTTTGCAAACCTTGCCTAGCTTCCGGAATACTATTCAAAAATAGCTTAAAGCATTGTGCAATACGTAAACGCTCTTGCATGCCAGCGCTGAAAAATTATAAAACCAGCATTGACAGAGTATGATTTTATTGGTGTCTACAGCAATGTGTCGAAGTTCAGCGACCATACGCGTTGTTTAACCAAGCAAAGGTGAAGCTTAGGAGAGATGAATGTAGGACAGTCGTAAGAGAGGTGTCACTTTATGGTCGAGACTTTATACCTGGAGTTCAAGGACCCCACGCGTCATCAAACGTGCCAACATGAATACCGCGGTATCGGCAATTTAGTGAGCAGGTCGGCCCCTGGCGGGGAATCTTCTCCGTTAGAGCAGCAGATTTTAACTACGGAATACTTTAAGGATCTACGTGGGTGGATCTCCATTTATGCAAAAATTCTCAGTTAAGTATTCGGTATCGTACCCGACCTATATATTAAGCTTCATTAGTACTGGTTTTAAGCATCCAGGCATGTATCAAATGATGCAATAGCAAATAAAGGGTTTTCATCCCCAACGGGCATGTGGCAAGCTTTCAGGCTTGATAATAACTGCAGCCAGAATAAAGGCGCAGCTGGCGATTGTCTCGGAGGTCTGGTAATGAATGGGGACGGAACAGTCCGTCCTACATGCGCGTTATCCTTCTCGCCAAGAATAGCACGATTTAAGCGGATTAGTCACTAGAAACAGCGAAATACAGGGAACATACAAACCGAGACAAGATTATACTGTTAGAATTTGAAGATTGCGGACAACAACACAAATAGGAAGCAAAACCAAGGAGTTCTATCTGGCATGCGGTAAAAACATGTGAAATGTGTAAAGTAGTAAACTGGAAC